ATTCTCTCTAGTATGTTCGCCGTATATACGTCGCATACCTAAAGCGGTAACACGTCGCATGCCGGTAGTATTAATCCACATAGCGACGACGCCTAGGATAGCGTAAGGGTTTGGTGAAGTCCAGAGATCAAAGGAGATAGAGATCCTACTCCGTGAATGGTGTAGGTCCTCCCTAAGCTGTTGCTTCTTCGATATGAATGCATTTATTACCCAGCTTCGGATAGTCTTCGCAGCCTTCGGGAGGTGGTTGAGTAGTGCCGGATTTAAAAAGAGGAGTAGTTCACGAAAGTACTGGTTCTCTAATTGAAAGAAGGCGATATGGCAGTACACAATCCAACGAATTAGAAGCTCTTTAAACTTCTCTACTGACTCCTTCTAGAAAAAGGTGCTGGAAGCAGCCCCATCCTTTTGCTGGTCGATTATAGACTTCCGTACAGAACCCTTTCACTTGATGCCACTCTGGGGATCAATCTGGTGCTTCTGTTCCAGGTGATTCCGGATCCTAGAAGTGCCATTGATGACAAACAACTCTTGCTTGCTCTTCCCAACCCTGCACTCATGGCAGTAATACACCTCTTTCTTATCGCTATCTCGAATGTATTGGAGTCCGTACTTCCAGATGTGTGATGTACCTTGACGGAAATCCTTCCTTGCAATTATTGCACGTTTCACGTACGTGATACCGCCCTGCACGAACTCATCTGGAGATTCGTGATATTGAATAGGAGTGGGTGATAGTATAGGGGTGGGTGATGACGTGGGGATAGGAGATGGAGTAAGAGACGTTAAATCTAGTCTTATAATATTCGATGGGGACGGTGAGGTTGGTGTTGAAGGCTCCATAACAATAGTATATAAGTAGGCTGTTAAGGACTTGATTGTTCTATGTAAGTAGAAGACTTACCTTGATCTTAATGACTCATATTGTGCTAAATTTTCTGGCTAGATTAGTCTAAGATCTAGTCACGTGGACCTATTTATAGCCGGACCGGTCCGATCATCTAGACCGGTCCGACCACGGTCTCAAAAAATCGCCAGACCAGACCAAGTCTTGGCGGTCTAGACCAGACCAAGACCAAGTCAGACCAGACCATTCCGATCACTGCATAGGGAACTGTATTCCCAACTGTTTTCTAACTTATTCTTGCTTTCATAAGTACTGCCTGTGTCTAGGCGGCCACTTATCTCAAAGGGGTCGTGCAAAGGAGTCAAAGGTGGCAAGGAATACCTAGTTGACGAGTCATAGTCCATCTGCGACGCTGGTGATGGCTCCACGAGGTTTAAAACGAAATTTTGAGCGCGGGTTGACGAATGATGATGGAATGGACTGAAAGTGGGTGGCGAGCGAAAGTAGGTATCTGTAGGAGCTGCTACTATCCCCTCGTTTGGACACTGAGCTATGATAGAGGTTAGATATGCATTTTCTACTTAAAGACAGAAATTTGTTGCGAACTCGCACCCTTTTTCAACACTTCTATAGTTGCTAATGCGTGTAGTAGCCGCTCCTGTAATGACACGTTGTCTTTCTCAAGCTCTTTATTCTAAAGCCGTTAATGAGATAGCCTATTGTTAAACGGTGGATTTCGAACCTGGCGTTGAAGAGTATTAATCTGGTCTCTTTTTTTCTGGCGCGACTTTCGCTGACTCTCTCGGTTATACTCTCTTTTCCGTGCAAGTTGGTGGGCAGTAAGCTTCATAATGCTTCGTAGACTTGCTTTCGATGATTTCCTCTTTTTCTAGGTAACAACCGCTGGGTATGTTCGAGTCGATAGCATGGAGAGTTGAACAAGACCAAAGTGAAGATTTCTGGGTTATCAGCAAGATAACAACAATTAATAGTCTAAGACACGCACCAATAAACTGATCCCGGTAGAAAACGAAGGTGTGGGGCTGATGATACGGCTACTAACGTCGATCCCTGTATAACGAGAAACCCGCCATGCCGAGAAATCAGTTAAATCGCAAATTTAATCCACTCCCATGGCGATGTACATAGAAGACCAATCTCATGATAGCATTGAATTCTCCAGAATAGCGTTGTGAGGCGGTGAAAGAAGACATGTTGCAGGTCGCCTGTGCGATCTTTGCGATCTTTGCGATCTTATTGGTCGTTCTCGGCATAGCGGGTTTCTTGCTACATAGGGATGGACGTTAGGTCATCCGCTTTAGGCACTACGAGTTGGGCTTCCGCGTATGCTTGCGTGCTAAGTTTCGAATTAAGTCTCTAAAGACTAACGGTAGCTAAGTTAGCTGCAACTTTATAACGCCTAGTGTTATGTTAGAGTGTACACTCGCCATATCATAAGCGTAAGTATAATTGATTCAGCCTTATATCCTAGTATTTTCACACGCTCTAGAGATAGATGAAGTTTAGGATTAATAGCAAGCCTAATTTTTCGTCTATCTACTTTTATTCTTTGCCTTATCTTGAACTTCACGTAGGCTCCTTTCGTCCTTCCAATTCCTGCTCCCGCTACTACGATTACAGCCGTTGGACAGAGAGGCAAACTCGAGCCAAACTGCCTGCCGAACTGTTCTGACTTGCCTCGTGCCTTTCCTTCAGTTCTCGACAGCGCCGTCTGGCTGAAGTCGATCTTAGAGCCCACCCCGATGCAATACCCGCCTCCCGCGACGAGGGCCTTGTCCCCGTCCTGTTCCGCTAACAACTAAATCCCCGCCTCGTACTCTCTCCAGGCCGCTCTCCACAGTGGCGTCCATCGGGCCTGTTCCTTGGGTTCCTTCAGCAGCAAGCTTACTCTTCCCCCCATCCGCTGTGACCCTTTGTCTCGTCTTAAATCTTACATAGCTCCCTTCTATCCTTTCAATTCCTTCTCCAACAACCTTAACCACAGCTGATGGGCAGAATAGCAGACTTTCTCCAAGCTTTAGCCGGACAATCTTATGGAACAATGCTCTATCATCCTCAGAAACTTCTGACTTCTCATCGCTACCTACGCCAGCCTGGGAAGACGTCGGCAAGTTCAAGTAAAGAGCGGCAACATGTTGCTTGAGCACGTTGAACCATGCGGGACTTGTGCATCTGTGCACCATCGTGATGCTGCACAGGTCTAACAGCTGCGTGTTGATGCTAGGTTCCTGAGTTGCAATAACAACCCTGACGGCTTGATGTCGCTGCTCGCGCACTGTCCGCAACAGCTTCTCTGTGAAGGCTTTAGCTGCACCGCTGCCTTCCGCCATGTAGTTGTGAGCTTCATCTAAGGCGACAATCTTTCCGCACTGTGTCTGCTGAATGAATACCGAGAGGCATATGTCGAAGAGCACGCAGGCAGAATCAGCGTCGATGACAGGATCAGTCAGGTCTACAATGGTGAGAGACCCTGCAGTGCCAGCCAGGAAGTCGTTTTCGTTATTCGCCAGAATACTAGAGCTGTACTTGCAACGTTTCATGAATGATTCCAGCAGGTCGAGGCGGAGTTTCATAGGACCATCCTGGCCGCTAGCAAACTTGGTAGCCGATAACTCGTCCCTGAATGTGTTGTAGTCGAAGGCACCAAGGCCTTGTGACTCGATAGCCATTTTGCGGAGGATCATGAGTATTGTCTAGTGAAGTAAGCTCATCTTCATTAAGAGAGGAGAGGGGAACTAGCCTGCATGTACAACGGCATTTCATCCTCTTTCCCCACAGCCATCAGAGTCTTCATCCGTTCCGTATCAAGATATTTTGGCAAGACATATAGCTGTTTGACAGTGATTTTTGCACCCAGTTTCTCCGCCATAGCTTCATATGCTCTCTTCAGCCTACCATAGTTGCTCGGGCTTACAAGAACAGTGGTCGGAACACTGGTGCAGAGATAGGCGGCCTCACAAACTCCGCTGCCCTGGCACCTATCGTAGTGAAACACCAGTCCGGCAAGTGGATGAGGATTCAATCCAACTCGAGGAAGGATCGTTTCGTCGGTTAAAAGACAATTTTCGAGCATACACGACAGAGTGTGCGATTTTCCAGAACCTTGAGAACCACAGAGGAAGGCAGACCAAGGTGAATCGGTATTCAGCAGAACTGGAGTTCGCGTTGCGCCATTAGGGACGGATGCATCGTCTTGTGGGCTATTGTCAGCCTCTGGAACATGGCCTAATACCGCGTAGCCACGTTGAACCTGTTGCTGTGGCTCAATGTGCTGCTTTACATTCCACCAAACAAGGGGTGACATGCGAAGTTCCTCTACCATTGGATCGATTACATTGGGTTCGTCTGTGCCAGAGGTATTTCGACGGTCTTGTAGTACCGGTTGGTAGCGGATTAGCTCTAGTGAACTTGCCATCTTGCCAAATGTTAGATGCGATGGAGAAACAGTTACCGCAAGACCTGGGGCAGTGATATAGTCCGGACATTGCCTGCTTTACAGCAAATTAAGATTAGTTTCTCCCGGATTGTATTTGTAAAAACACAAGCGGTTTGTGAATCAAACGAAAAATGGAAAACCTAGGAAACATTGTGTGTAGTCGCAAGCACTGTTCATCCACTATTAGTCAGGGTAGGACAAGGTATTGTTAAAGCTGATGTGCAGGGAGCGTGATGTTTTAGATCAGAATTGCGGTGTGAGACAACGTCTCGATTGAACATGCTAGACTTGAGTTAAGGATCTCTTAGGCGGCTCGAGACGTGTGAAGCTTGGCCTAGAATAGCTCGGAATTCCGGGTTCAGGATCGTCGTTGATGATGTTGGGATTGTAATGGCTGTAGAGCGCAAAAGCAAATAGCCACGCGCTGTCATGTGATTCTTTGTGGCCTGGGAATAGTCTTCCCTCAGTTTGCTCTTAACCTCTATCGTGCGCTGTTTGCGGAGCTGTTGTTTGCGGGCGCTGTCACAGGTTGCGCGCGCCTAGGCTGGCCCCCAAACCTCCCGCCAGCTCCTTCTCACTGTCGCCCTCATCCTCATTCTGCCCTGAGCCGCCCCTCCCCCACTCCATCTCCTGCCTTCACTATTCGTCCTCAATATGCCGTCGTAATTGGGAATATCCGGGTGGCAGACAAAGAGGCTTAGCACTAAAGGCCGCCCGCGGTAGGCAAAGGCAGATATTTTAGTCTTTACATACAGCTAGTTTAAATCTAAAGACACGGCAAGGTCCCTTTAGGTCCTGACATAACTGTTACACCCTAGCATCATTCTTCTGTCCTCAAAATACATACTGGAAGAGTTGAAGTTGCATATATCAATGGGACACCCCGTGAATGTCAAGCGCATGCCTCTTGAAGTGCGTCATATCCACCAATATATCCGAACATCTAGGATGGCGGCATTGGAACTCTGATTGAGGTTTAGCGAGTCGGAAATGCGTCTCCACATGCTTCCTTAGGACGTCCTTCCGTGGAATACAGCGCATCCTCCGCTCGTCCGAGAACTCTTCATTCCCTATGCAGATGAGGCATATCGGGTGAGGGGCCACGGTTGGAAACAGCTGGTCAGACCGTGCCTCCAAGACATTTTCGTTTACCATTTCGCAATCCTGATTTAGCGGGCTCCTCTCGACACTATCGGTGCCCTTCTTTGGTTTTTTCGAGAAAGATGAGCCATTAGGTTCACATGCGACCAAACCCACCCTCTTTCGCTTAAATGCCTGTGGCTGCCGTGTCTCTTGCTTGTGGCACAATCTAGCCAAGGTTCGCACAAATCTTACTCGGGCTTTTTCGTCCTGAATTGGCTTGAAGAGCATGCCGGCGATGGTGCCTCGTTCCCGAAGTTCAAACTCAACGGCTGGTAGCGTTAAGACTTTCTCTGCGGCCATCCCGCTGAGTTGCCTAGCTATCTCAATTGTGTCGATTGACTCATGGAACTCGCGGACCGCCGATTCTAATCGTTCTCTGTACAACCTCTGGTATGTACTGCCAATCTTTCGCTTGGTTTCCTCGTATTTCTTGTAAAGATCTGTCCCTTCGCCCTTCGAGAGTGGATAGAAGCCTTGGTCATAAAGCTGTTCTTTGTACACTTCTCGCTCTTTACGAAGGATTGTAAGTGCAGGATCGTTCCGTAGTTCCTTCTGTTGCTCGTCATCCAGCTCCGTGGGTGCACGTCGATCCCGTGACAAGCCCATCCGTGCAACAGATTCAATGAGAAGGGCTTCTGAAGGGCTTCCAAAGTAGATAGATTGAAAGTCGCGAGCAATATGCGTTGGCGTGTAGTACTTTTCGTATGTGCTCCCGAGATGACCCATTGTCTGGTTCCGCTCTACTGGGTCAAGAGCGCCTGGTAGATCCTATAAGCTTGGACGAAAGAAGAGCAACACGCGATCTAAGGCAGACTTACTGTTGATATTCCTTCCAGAAGCCCGTCGTAGCTGGTACAGCTCTAATGATTCTTCAAAGCCCGCAACACGCCCTAAGCGTACAAAAGTGTCACGATATTTCGCGTATGGAAACGCCTTCTCTTTCAATATGCGGACACCCTCGCTTGTATTCCTTACATCGCATAGGAACGGTTGGTTCAGCAACTCCTTCTTCCATTTGATCCGGAGTACGTCGCGATCTGCAGGTATGTTTAGGTCAAATATTTCCCGAACACTAGAAAATTCGTCTCTTAATGCTCCTTGACCGATGCCGATGCTTAGGATGTAAGAAACTATGCAGAAGGCGGGGGTCCCTTCTAAGCGGAAGGTGAATTTTTTTCTGCAATGCAATACTTAGCGAGACTTCTTATCCTCGACAACTGCTCTCTAACTTACGGTTTCCCGTCCTTTTCCTTATTTTTGACGTTCTCAAGATTAACGTTCGCCACAATAGTGCTCCGGCTAGGATCTACAACGCTGCGAACCTTTAGAAGTTCGATGTTCTTAAACAAGAGTGCCTTGTTGCTGCCTTTAGCACTTGCGCTTTCGACGATGGCTCCAGGTCTCGTCGCTGTAGCAGCGCTAAGAAGTAGAAGCAGCGATATCTGAACTCGGATAAAACCATGGAGGGGTTTGGTGTCATCTACCCAGAGTGCGTGAAGGATGGCGTAGAGGTCCTGGACGTACATGGCATGCTTTTCCTTCTCGGATTTATCAAGCATTAGGGATGGAATCCACTACTATGATATTAGCTCGGCGCGATGCAAGGGATAAACATGTCTATTCGGACATACATTACAAACGTCGGTGAGGACATCTGCGTCCATTGTGTGGCGTGTGAGATCCATGTAGCACATGCTGAGTCTTTTCCAATAGCTCCGCATTGAGCTCTCTTTCTTGACCCGGGAATTCTTCTTCCGCCAGCGGAGGTACGCTTTGAATGCCTCTGGGTCGCATGCGCGTAATTGTTCTTCTGGGGACCTCTTAGTCTTTTTCATAATCTTGGAGCAGTATCTAATTTTCGTTAGTTAAGAGTTAATAAAGATTATGTGCATATAGATAGCAAGCCCTTACCTTTCCCAGAAGTCGCCTTCCCTCTTCCAAAGTTTTATCGTATGAGGGGTATGGTTTGGCTTTGCTGGCCCCTCCGCCCTCAATTGAGCAATGTCCTTCAGTATCTCTTCAGCTTCAGAGTCTAGATCCGCGTCTAGCTCCTGCTCAGAGGTGAAACCAGCATCTTCGCCCGTACTTAGCTCGATATTGATATCCGTATCCGCCTCAGTATCGGGGTCCGAGTACGTGTCGGAGAATGAGTTAGTGTCTGACTGCCCTTCCCAGCACGAGTCGGCAGCTGAAGATGGGTTGGATCGACGCAATAAGTAGCGATTTCGCATCAGAGCGGCGTTCTTGATGCCAGTAGAGGTGGCTAGCTCTTTTCGAATAATTCGCTTCGTGGAGAACGGCATTGCGGTAGGACGCGAGCGACTAGAAGAAAGCTAGGGAGAAGAAGTAGGAGAGGTGATGATAGAAGGGACAGTGAGCATGCCATCACTTTAAATAGGCGCCGGTCAATGGGCAAGTTTTAGGCGCAGTGCCATTCTTGGGTTTCACGGAAGCACTAACGGCAATTGCAGCCTTCCTCCCCCCACCAGAGATGCCAACAATCAAGCCTGCTTGATGGGCTTGATTGATTTGATTGAGTGAATACAATCAAGCCAAATCAAGCCCAGACTGCTCAAAAGTACAAGCAAATCAAGCCCATCAAGCAGGCTTGATTGGTGAGCTTGATAGGCTTGATCCTGGCTATATCGTAGAACGTGAAGTCGTAGATTTTGGTATAACCTAGGTTCCATCCCATCTTCTCTCACTTAAAGGCTAGTACGTACAGGGCATAGCGCCCACAACGTTAGCCGGCGGAGATATAGATCTTAGTTCCCGTAGCACAATGATTAACACAATTCTCTACATGTTCTATTCCTAGTGCTACCCGTTGCTATTATGCCAGACCCTAGGCATCCTCGTAAACGCCCTGCTGCCGCTCCTGTTGCCGCCGCTGGTCGCTCAAAACGCCAGAAAGGCAGTAAATCACAGCCTATAACTATCGAAGCTTCGCAGCCATCTCACCCTTTCGTTATCGACGAGGATACACAGCGCGAGACTCCGCCAACGTCGCCGCGTCGAGCTATACTGGCCGCGAGCCAAGGCGTTGATTTCGAGATGCAGTTGCGCGACTCTATACCCGAAGATGCGATTGTCGCGCCTGTTGAAGCCTCTGAGGTAGCTGCAGCGGCGTCTGAAGCGGTAGATGAAGGCGAGCCAGAGCCTGACTTCGACCCGCGTATGGCCGATAACTTTGATGGCATTAACTGGAGTCGCCTGCCACGGTATATGAAGCCTCTTCGGACACAGAAGCAGAAGAAAAGCTGGGTATACAACTACGGTTATCGGCTTACTCTCCGCAGTAATACCAACAGGATATTCTGGCTGTGCCACATCTGTCACAAGCGTAAAGCAGCGACTGCTGGCTTTGCGGAGACGACGGAGGCAACTAGTACTGCTGCGAGGCACCTAAATAGGGATCATGGAATAACAAACGCTGGCGAGCAACCGCCTCAGCAGCTTCTTGGAGGCCAGAAATCGCTAGAAATGATGCTGAAGGGCGGCTTCGGCGTTAGCCAAAGGGTTGCGAACGAGATAGGAAACTTCGACGTACAGTCCTTTCGAATAGCAGCTGTTAGCTGGCTTGTTGACAACAACCTCGCCCTCTGCCAGTTCGAAGATCCAGCTTTCCGCAGGATGATACATTTCGCGAATCCTGAAGCTGAGCAGGCGCTCTGGAGTAGTCGCACAAGCGTTGCGCAGTTTGTGATGAGGCTGTACAACTTCATGCAGCCTCAGGTCGTCGATGAGCTGCGTTGCGCGGCGAGCAAGATACATATAAGCTTTGATGGGTGGACCGTTAAAGGTGGCAAGCGTGGCTTCTTCGGTATTGTCGCTCACTTTGCCACGGCTGAGGGCGACCTTAGGGACGTTGCTATTGACCTGCCGCAGCTCTCAGGTGCCCATACTGGCGACAGGATAGCTGATTGTGTCGCTGAAACTCTGCAGAAGTTTAATATAACTGCGCAGAACGTTGGCTACTTTATGCTCGACAACGCGTTCAATAACGACACTGCTATCGCGACCCTTGGAGCGAAGTTTGGCTTTAAGTCTAAGCATCGCCGGCTACGTTGTAGCGCTCATACAATCAACTTAGTTGGCCAGTCGATTATATTTGGCTCAAACAAGGACGCCTTTAACAACGACGAGAACTTGGCTGTAAGTCTACCTGTTCTTTTCAATGAAGCTTTCTAACGCTGTACAGGAGGAAGAGAAATACCTCAACGAGTGGCGTAAGCAGGGCCCATTAGGCACGCTTATAGACGTTATTAGCTACATCAAAACGCCACAACAGTACGACATGTTCGCGAACTTTCAGCGCCTCGCGAGGCAGGACTTACCGGCCGACGACGACGCTAAATTCCAAATACTCGAGCCTGTAAAGCCTTGCGTTACGCGCTGGAACTCCTTTTGTTCAGCGTTTGAGAGAGCTGTATTACTACAACCCGCGTTCAACTCCTACGTTTGTTTCTACGTGGAACAGCAGCGCGTTGCCGACTCACACGCCCGAACGAAGAACAACAAGAAGCCCCAGGCGCCTGCTTGGATGAGATCTAAGGGCCTCACAGCTGCTGATTGGGCTGTTATAACTGAGTATATTGAGGTGCTGAAGCCGCTGAAAGATGCTACAAAGCGCCTTGAAGGCAGAGGCAAATGTGGCCGTTTCGGTGCGATATACGAGGTTATACCAGTGTTTGAGTTCCTTATGGGGCGCTTTGAGCAGCGTCTCCGGCAGTACGAGAGGGTTGATTTTGAGCAGCGCGAGGCGCCTGAAGATCACATCTCTATCAACTTTCGCGCAGCGTGGGAGAAGCTCAACGACTACTACAGTAAACTCGACGACTCACCCGCGTACTTTGCGGCCTGCGCTCTTCACCCGTACTATCGACGCTATTGCGAGAAGGCGTGGCGTGATAAGCCTGAGTGGCTCGTCGCCTGTATGGCTGACTTTCGTGCTCTTTGGGCAGAGTATACGACCTCTACTCCTCCAACAAAGCCCTCAAAAGAGCGTGATAACGGCGCTATTGACGAGGCTATCTCGTACATCATAAGCGATAGCGAGGACGATGATGAGCTCACAGATGAGTACGACAGGTGGCGCAAATTGGAGCCAAAGTGGACGAGTAAGCAGCACAACAGCCCTAACGTTGACGGCAACCCTATCAAGTACTGGGTACAGCTTCAGTCTAAGTATCCCGACCTCTCACGCTTTGCGATTGACGTGTTGAGTATTCCAGCGAGCAGTTGCGAGTGCGAGCGCATGTTTAGTGAACTAGGAGATCTACTTGCTCCGCGACGGCGCAAGATTGGGTCACAACTACTCGCCGCGCTTCAATGTGTACGGGCTTGGAATGCCGCTGGCATAAAGCTGCCGACGTCAGCTACAAGCCAACTCTCAGATCACGACCTTGAGCAGTTGTACAACCTCACAGCGTGGGAGCAACCTAGCGATTCCGGTAAGTACAGCCCATCTCCATCCTCGTCTACGACCTCTAGGGTCATCAGGATAGCTGCTTCTTACAGCTTCAATATACCTAGCAGAGCGTAGCTGACTACTTCTTAAAATAGACGTCTCGCCTACCTTACAACGCCCATCCACTGAATAATACCGCCTGCCTCCGCGTCGATTAATGAGTCTTAAGCTTCGATATATCCTATCCAAAGGCCTTAGAGAGGTTACTGTCCCTGCTGTATACTGCTGTTGGGGGCATATACTGCTAGTGAACGATGAGGATAGCTTGTGAGCACTCTGCTCAACGTAGAGACTCCCGAGTAGCTGGGTTTCAACGGCGATAGCGATACAATCTTATCTTTTCTTGATTACTCGCGCGCAATAAGACTTCAGGTTATATACTACGCAACACTGCTATTCTCCCTCAAACGCGCTCCTAGAAGGACCTCTCTCTAGAGCAGATAGTTGCGGCCTTTTTTGCTTTGTGTTCGAAACTCTATACTAACTTCTCGTTTTGCCTTTTTTTGGCTCCAGAAACCGCCTTTTTCACTCTTCGGAGCTTCCTAAGGCTACCTAGCGATCAAGCCCATCAAGCTCACCAATCAAGCCTCACTGATCGACCTATCAAGCCCATCAAAGCAAGCTCAACACCAAGAAAACGTCAATCAAAGCAAGTATAGGGCCTGAAGCTTGATTGATTTGATTGTTGGCATCTCTGCCCCCCACCAGCAGCGCAGCATGGCCAGGACACTAAGGCGAGGTGAGGGTCCGCTTAGCGTGGTAAGTGAGCATGGGTTTGGTTAAAGCGGCAATGTGACAGAGACTAAGCGAGGTGGAAACGCCTCCAAAAGCAGCGGCCAAAGACATCCTAAAACGGATGCATTTCCACCGCTACATAGATATAGGTAGATATTGGATAAAAGTGATGGATGTTGATTATTGATTGTGTGTTGTTCTGTCCGTCTTCTGTCTGCGCGTGTGGCTCTGTTGAGGGGTGCTATGACCCACTCTGCGCTAATTGGTTGTCACAGCTGCTAGCGCACTTGGCATCTGTGAGACGCTGTGCTCGGCCATAACTATTGTCAGATACAAGCACTGTTGAAGATGAGAACGTACAGACGCCGGGTCAGACTAGTGCGACCCGGCATCTGTGAGAGCCAATTAGATCACAGGAAGGCTTGGCACCCCCTAGGTGTGCCCACAACCGTATTATTATTATTTATTGAGAAGCTGGCACTATTAGTAGTAGTATGACTACCTAATAGAGCGCTCTCTAAGGCACAACGGTAGTGGTGGTACGACTCGTATTGTATTGACTAAGGAGCTATTCACACGTTCGTAGATCCGTGTTGCGTGCAGCTGCGTCCAAGCTCCCCGCTAGGACCCACCTGCACGTGTCACCAATCATGTGACTACTCCTCCGCTTGATACCACCAAGTCACTTACGGACTGTATTCTCAACACTCCCCCACAGGCCTTACGTGACTTGTTCTAGTGCCCTTCATCAATAACTCCCAGCATCTTCTTAAACCTTTCGAAAGCAACTCTCTGCAGTGGCTTAGTCATTCCGTCGGCAACCATCTCGTCAGTCGGAATATAAGAAATCTGGAGCTTCTTCTGCTCAGCTAGGTCTCTAATGAAGTGGTAGCAGATGTCAATGTGCTTAGAACGTTCGTGCAGATGCGGATTCTTCACCAGTGCAATCGCTCCCTGATTGTCACCGTACATCTGGACTGTGATACCGTTCTCATTGACGTATTGGTGCAGGCCGAGATCTCTGAGTACTTGAGCTGCCCACTGTCCCTGCTTGGCGTACATGGCTTGTGAGATGTACTCAGACTCAGCACTTGAGGT